TTATATTTATGCAAAAATATTTATTAATTCAGACATTGATTATTTTTTCATCGCGAGCAATATTCTATATTATCTCTTCGATAACTAATTTTCTTTAAAAACAAATTGGCCTTGTTCAGTTCTAGTTCAGTCCTAGTTTAGTTCTATTCAGTTCTAGTTCAGTTCTAGTTCAGTTTCTAGTTCAGTTCTAAGTTCAGTTTCTCTAGTTCAGTTCTAGTTCAGTTCTAGTTCAGTTCTAGTTCAGTTCTAGTTCAGTTCTAGTTCAGTTCTAGTTCAGTTCTGTTCAGTTCTAGTTCAGTTCTAGTTCAGTTCTAGTTCAGTTCATAGTTCAGTTCTAGTTCAGTTCTAGTTCAGTTAGTTCAGTTCTAGTTCAGTTCTAGTTCAGTTCTAGTTCATTCTAGTTCAGTTCTAGTTCAGTTTCTAGTTTCAGTTTCTAGTTCAGTTTCTAGTTCAGTTCTAGTTCAGTTCTAGTTCAGTTCTAGTTCAGTTCTAGTTTCAGTTCTAGTTCAGTTCTAGTTAGTCAGTTCTGTTCAGTTCTAGTTCAGTTCTAGTTCAGTTCTAGTTCATTCTAGTTCAGTTCTAGTTCAGTTCTAGTTCAGTTTCTAGTTCAGTTCTAGTTCAGTTCTAGTTCAGTTCCTAGTTCAGTTCTAGTTCAGTTCTAGTTCAGTTCTAGTCAGTTCTAGTTCAGTAAGTTCAGTTCTAGTTCAGTTCTAGTTCAGTTCTAGTTCAGTTCATAGTTCAGTTCTAGTTCAGTTCTAGTTCAGTTTAGTTCAGTTCTAGTTTCAGGTTCTAGGTTAGTTCTAGTTCAGTCTAGTCAGTTCCTAGTTCAGTTCTAGTTCAGTTCTAGTTCAGTTCTAGTTCAGTTCTAGTTCAGTTCAGTTTCAGTTCTAGTTCAGTTCTAGTCAGTTCAGTTCAGTTCTAGTTCAGTTCTAGTTCAGTTTCTAGTTCAGTTCTAGTTCAGTTAGTTCAGTCAGTTCAGTTCTGTAGTTCAGTTCTAGTTCAGTTCAGTTCAGTCTAGTTCAGTTCTAGTTCAGTTCTAGTTCAGTTCTAGTTCAGTTCTAGTTCAGTTCTAGTTCAGTTCTAGTTCAGTTCTAGTTCAGTTCTAGTTCAGTTCTAGTTCAGTTCTAGTCCAGTTCTAGTTCTAGTTCAGTTCTAGTTCAGTTCTAGTTCAGTTCTAGTTCAGTTCTAGTTCAGTTCTAGTTCAGTTCTAGTTCAGTTCTAGTTCAGTTCTAGTTCAGTTCTAGTTCAGTTCTAGTTCAGTTCTAGTTCAGTTCTAGTTCAGTTCTAGTTCAGTTCTAGTTCAGTTCTAGTTCAGTTCTAGTTCAGTTCTAGTTCAGTTCTAGTTCAGTTCTAGTTCAGTTCTAGTTCAGTTCTAGTTCAGTTCTAGTTCAGTTCTAGTTCAGTTCTTGTTCAGTTCTAGTTCAGTTCCAGTTCAGTTCTAGTTCAGTTCTAGTTCAGTTCTAGTTCAGTTCTAGTTCAGTTCTAGTTCAGTTCTAGTTCAGTTCTAGTTCAGTTCTAGTTCAGTTCTAGTTCAGTTCTAGTTCAGTTCTAGTTCAGTCCTAATTCAGTTGAAGAAAAAAATTGTTTTTAGAAAGCAACTTTTCTATAAAATAAGAATATTTTTGTATAGAAAAAATAGTCTCTATGGATGCTTCTTTCTTCACTATTCCTTTAGAAAAATTGGAAGAATTAAAAATAATTTTATGGTCGATAAATGTTAACAAATTTTTATTTTTTGTTTAAAAACTTATAGAAACAGTCTTTATTTACAAACTAAGGTAATTTAAGGTTTTAAATTTTTACTCCCAAGGTAAGCGACCCAAAGGACAGGATTTCCAATCATGAGTTTCGTCATCTATTAGAAATAATTATTAAAAATAAGTTTTTTTTTATAATAATAAAAAATGTACCTGGCATTAAAGTCCATATGCCATATTTAACTTCTGCAGCATCATCAATCTTATCTCCAGTTACAATTTCATTTTCCTCATCCACTTCCATTTCTATATCATTATTTTTATTTATTTTCTGTAATAGATCTGATACAGTAAAAATTTTATTAGAATCTTTAGTTGATTTCTCTTTAACTTCCATTTCGGCATTTGTCTCAAATAGACAATCGATGAGTGTGGTAAATGTATTGATTTCCGTTTTATTCAATTCCGGTTCTATTAGTGGTAATAAGCTAAAGTTGGAAAATAAATAAGTAATTTAGATTTTTCTTATAATTTTGTAAAATTTTATATTTTAATACCTTTTTAATATGGGTGCTGTGTATTCATTAACAGCTTCTAAACGATCTTCTATAAAGTTACGTTCAAATACCCAAACCCAGGGACGACGAAAATGATCACCAAATATTATGGTTCTTTTCATGTCGACACCACTGTAGATGAGTAATTCTCTAGTACCTTCTGAAATTTGAGTTAAATCGGTGTTGCTGAGAGGTGCTTCTTTTATAGTGCTGTCCTGAAATGTAGAATATTATAATTAAATATATTTTGTCCAGTCTAGTCTATAGTCTAACCTGTAGACCTGTTATGAGTTATTTAACTTACCGCATCCAATTCTGCTTTATACATTTTCTTACACTGACGAAAAGCCTGAAAACCTTTCGCCATTTGAACAGCCCAATAACTGGCTCCAGCTCGCATACTTGAATCAGCTATAGAATTTTCAGTGACTTCAATTAGCGACAAAAATAGTTCCTCTACAAAACCATAAACAGCCAGCATACGAAACAGTGACTGAGTGACACTTATTAATGATATGAAGTCTTCATCGGATGTATGTGTTTCGTGTAATTTAAAGAAATAGCTCATTTTCAAAAAAGCTTCTACATAAATTTCCGACATATCCTTTATAGCCAAATCACGTTTGACTAGAACACAAAGTTGTTGAACAATAACATCAAATACATTTTGTAGGGAATTCAATTTATTTTCAGTGTAAAATTCCTTAAGGGAATTAAAACGTTTGCCGTGTATATGGCGTTTAAGAGTTTTTAGATTTGTGGCCCCTTTTAAATGGCCTTCTAAAGCGGCATCATAGATTTGAAATAATTCAGAGATATTAATATCAAATTGGGTTTTATCTTTGCGTCTTATGTGGGCTGCATCAATGTCACACATGGTGTTGCTTTGCGCCGACCAATAGTAGTCATGCAGCCAGGAAACACAATACTCCGCAGTATTACGCAGCACCTGTAGAGGAGGCAATACTTGTCCATGAGCACAAATGTGTCTTAAATCTACTACAAATGATTCTAAACCCAATTCTTTGGCCGTTTGATACATGGTGCGCATATTGTGTGACTGCATTATAGAGGACATGAAATTGAAGAATCTGGTAAAAGCATTAGCGTATAAAGTCTGTAACTCCTCGGTAGTAAATTTATTGTCTGCAATATCTTTAAGCTGAACCTCTATAATGACACTGGTGGCTAATACAGCAGCTGGACATAAAGTACTGCGTCTCAGATTCCACACGCGTATTTGACTTAAGGCTTTTTCACGTGACTCTGTAGAATATTCTGAACCAAATAGCCAGTTATATACTTTATTAAATTCTGATCTGAAAAAATTGGTTTAGAGTACCTTTGTATTTAATTAAAATTTTGTTTCTACTTACACATTTTTCCAGGGTCCCACTACAGTACGACGTTTAACACTTTCACTGTATGTATTATTTTGATCACTGAAATCTGTTGAGGTGATTTCTTCAAAGAAATCATCTTCAGCATTATTGCTGTCTAAATACATCTTAATTTTTATGTTTTTTTTTTTTCTATTTTTTTAATTTAACAAAATTGTAAACAAATTTAACACGTGCTGCCGCTGCAATGTTAGTTTAGCGAATGTTCGATTATTAACAGAAACCGTTAACACTATGTAAACAATAACAGCTGTTGACTATAAAATGACAGTTGCTAACAATGTTACCAGATTTCAATGTTAATAAACGCGTTCGTTTTATTAAGTTCTTCATAACATTTTTTAATTATAATTACTAAAACAAATTATTGATATTTCTCTCTGATATCATGATTACTTAAACTATATAAAGCTGATTTAATAAACCAATTTATTGAAAATATAGACAAGATAATAAGACTGAACAATGGGAAAGACTAGTCTCTAGTCTGGTCTAAAAATGGTCTTTGATGCTGTAACTAAAATAAGTATTTTGTTTGTATTCTAAGGAGTGTATCACAGATTGGCTTTTAAGCAAGACTAGTCTATAGACTAGACTAAGTATGTATATACTAATTTATAGACTATACTAAAGACAATGCTATGGACTAGACTGTAGACTAGGCGATAGACCTTAGACTAGACTATACACTAGACTATAGGCTAGACTATACGCTATACCTTAGACTAGACTATACGCTATACCTTAGACTAGACTATAGGCTGGACAATAGACTAGACTATAAGCAAGATTATAGACTAGACTGTAGGCTAGACTATAGACTAGACTATAGACTAGACTTTAGGCTAGACTATAGACTAGACTTTAGGCTAGACTATAACTAGACTATTTGCTACACTATAGACTATAGGCTAGACTAGAGACTAGACTATAGACTAGACTATAGGCTAGACTATAGGCTAGACTATAGACTAGACTATAGGCTAGACTATAGGCTAGACTATAGACTAGACTATAGACTACACTATAGACTAGACCATAGACTAGACTATAGGCTATAGGCTAGACTATAGACTTGACAATAGGCTAGACTACTATAGATTAGATTAGAGTATACTAGGCTAGACTATAAACTAGACTATAGACTAGACTATAGTCTAAACTATAAACAAGACTATAAACTAGACTATAAACTAGACTATAAACTAGACTATAAACTAGACTATAAACTAGACTATAAACTAGACTATAGTCTAGGCTATAGTCTATAGGCTAGACTACTATACATATACTTCAAATTTTTCAATTTTATCAGATTTGATTAAAATAATTAAATTTTCACTTACCCCCATTCTAATATTCAATTCTTTCTCCAATCACCGAAATTCTACGTTTCTTAGAGTTTTGACTGTTAAACACTACCTCACCGCTGGCCCACGATTCCTCTGGTGTGGCGGTAAATAAATCGTGATCGGGTACAAAAGGCATTTTTACCGCTTTATCAATATTTTTCAACACATTGGGTTTAAAGTTCATTATTTTATCCAAAATCTTGTGTAAATATTCCAAATTCAGATTTAACATCAAAGCTAAGGCCTGCACATGATAGTCATAGAGGCGATACGAAACTCTATCAACATTTAAAATATCTTTTATGTTTTTGTTTTCAAATAGTTTACAAAGTGATTCCGGTAAAGAGGGAGAACTTGAGGATGATTCTAGTAATTCGTAAGCTGGGGTATCATCAGGTGTTATAACATTTAGAGGATGAAATTGTTCATTTGAAGAACGTGTTAGAACAGCTTCTGGTGGTAGTTGATATTTAAAATGTGATGGATAGCTGAGGGGTAAAAGAGATTTTTTGCATAATTCTTGTGTTGAATCGGCTGGTGTGGGAGGTATGTTTGCAGGTAATGGTTTTTCGTAAGCATTGTGATTTGTTGTTGTATTTATTTTATCCACAAAGAGGGTTTTATCAAAGGATTTTAAATAATTTTTGTTTAAAGTAGAATTTTCGGTTACTGATTGTGTATTGGAATTAATACTTTGTGTTTGAATTTTCAATTCATTAGTTTCAAGTTTTTGAGTGTTTTCATTTAGTAAGGTGTTGCTGCTTCTGGTAAAGTATGTGTACTGTGAGATTCTCTTATCAAATGATTTTTGAGCGCTTACTTTTGATTTGAAATTGTTCGTTACATTATGTGTTTTTTCAAAATTTTTCTCTAAAATTTTATTATTTTTGTTGGTAATTTGTGTTTTTTTGCTAGAATTCTTTTCGTCCGATTTAAGGGAGCATGAGCTGCATTTTTCAGATTGAATTTGTGAAGAATTATTTTGTTGATTACATATTGCGGTTTCCATTGTAACAAGATTTTTAGTGCAATCAGTTTGTTTATTGCTTTTAGTTAGAGATTTTTGTATAGCTTCCAAGGGATTGATTTCTTCAAATGTTTTCGAGAAGGTTTCTAAAAGTGTTAACTGTTCAGATTTTATATGCAGATTCAAATTTTGCAATACATTTGTTTGAGTCTCTATATTAGAGGCATTTTCAATTAAGTTTGTCCTCCTTTTGTCGGATAGCAATGGTTTTTGTGATCTTTTAAGCGTTTGAGTGTCATTAGAAAATTTCTCAAAGATATCTTGTGAGGCATCCAATTTTGTTTTAGCAGTTTCTTTTTTATTTCGTGAATCTTCTGAACTTTTATTGCCAAAGACATTTGATGTTCTTTTGGAACTTTTGTTACATTTGGTTTCACTTGTCGTATTTAGATTTTGATTTTTTAAATCCGTTTGTTTCGGAAAATCCTTGGAAAATTCATTAGATAATTTCTTAAAGATATCTGGAGAATTGTTCAATTTACATTTTGTAGTTTTGGCTTTACTTTGCAAATCTTTTGAAATATTTTTTGTAGCATTATTTTCATTTAATAGTTTAACTTTTTGTTTACTTACTAAGTTCGAATTTTCATTTTGTAATTGAATACTTTTGTTAGAAACTAACGTACCACTTCTTTTAAAGGATTTTAATGGCAATGACTTCTGATGCGGCTGAACACTTCTGATGTTTTTATGCTCTATTTGTATATTTTTGTTTGAAATTAAAGTTCCACAACTTCGCTTAAGAGATTTTGAAGGCAAATCTTTGGTGATAGCCTCAATCATATCCGACTTTTTTGTTGGTTTTAGGTTTTCAACACTTTTGTCTGATGTGGATGTTTTACTTAATTCCATTTTAGCATAACTACATTTATTGCACAATTTCTTATTTGTTCCCAGCAACATATTAGGTTTATCAGATGAACAGTTACACGATCCGCTGGAAGTTTTTCTGGGTTTAGTTTTAGTATTAGAAGTACAGGAAGTTTGAAGTTTTGTTTTCAAACCGAATTCATTGTTTAGTGATTCAATTGAAGTTAGATTCCCTTTAATTGTATCTGAACAATTTAAAATTTTGCTGAGTTCTTTTTTAGGTCTTTTCTTGGAAAAACAAGCGGTGACAACATCGATTTTTGATTTCAATTCATTGGTTTTTTCCAACAACGAGTTTATATTTCCCTTACTTTCATCTAAAATTATTGTTTTATTTGGTTCGATTTGAAAATTTCTGTTGTTCAACAAATCAACGTTAAAGTTTTCCTTTTGGGACAAATGGTCGAACGAAATTGTTTTAGATTTGTAAGGTTTTACTACTGCTGAGTTTAACTTTATACATTTTGTTGTATCTAATGGCCATATTTTCTCACTGTGTACCTTTTTAGGTCTTTCCCGTTTTCTATTTTGCTTAATGTTGTTGTCTATTTAATAAAAACCAAAATAGTTTTATAGAACATTATTCTCTTGACTCTTAATAAATTTCAACTAGTGATGATAAAATGTTAATGAAAGATACTGTCTATTTGGACTATGGATTCTAGACTATTTTATATTTATCTATAGCCTAGATTATATACTTCACTATAGTCTAGACTCTAGACTACAATCTGTACTATAAACCCTATAGTATGGTCAATAGTGAACTTTGGAGCCTGGACTATATACTACTCTATAGTCTAGACTACAGGTTTATCTCTATATAGTCCAAACTATATGTAGTCTATAGTCCAGACTATAGAGTAGTTTATAGTCCAGATTGTACTGACTATAGCGTAGTTAATAGTCCGGATTATGGTGTAGTCTTTAGTCCGGACAGGCTTCACTATTATCTGGACTATTCTGGACTATCGACTACTAAATAGCCGGAACCATATGCTACTTTCTCTCTTGTCTAGTCCAGACTATATACTAATACATAGTCCAGACTATAGGTAGTACATGCTCCAAAGTGCACTATTGTACAGACTATAGAGTTGTTTATAGCCCACACTATAGAGTAGTCTATAGTCACGCTCCAGAGTACACTATAGTCCAGACTATAGAGTTGTTTATAGTCCATATTGTACAGTTGTTTATAGTCTGACTACAGCGTAGTCTATATGGACAATAAGTTTACAAGAAATACATTTTGTGCAAAATCATAAATTAAAATGTGTATTTTTCTCACCTTCAGTAGTTTCTTCAGCCTTTTCAGCAACATTTCTGGTTTTACCCCTCTTCAAGTAATGCTGCGCATTAAAATCATCAAGTTCCCCAGTAGACGTTTGTTTAGTTACCAATTTGGATTTATTTGATAAATCTAACGGTATGTAATTTTTGGCCACCTCTTCTTCTCCCAGCACTTGGGAATTAAAAATATCTTGTGTACATTTTTTACTACTGCTGGGAGGGTTTTTTGCAAAATTCTCTGAACGTTTTTTTGCTTTAAAAAATAAACCATTTTTCAGTATGTGAACATTCTTCCAAGAAAATCCTTCCTTCACCTTAGGTTTCTGCGACAGACGTTGTGATCTTCGTAATACAACATTTTGGTAAGGCTTTTCTAGGACGCTAGTGGCTGTCGGACAAATGTTTCAATTATTTTCATAATTTATGCTAAAAATGTATTCACCTTTTAGTAATTCTTCCACTTCTGAACAATAGGTAGAATCACTATCATTTAATGAATACATTAAAAACTTTTTTTGACGAAGCTAAAAGAAATGCACCCGAACTTGGCTAAAAACAAAAACTAACTGTAAATGGCGGCATGTTTATGATTGTTTTTATGTCGATAAATAAGTGAATTATTGACATATGTCAACGTAAAAAATCCGAAAAACTTTTTAAATTTTAAAATATTGTTTAATTTTTAGATAAGTTATGGAAAAGAAATACAGAGTTGACTAATTTGTTATAAATTTAAACAATTGGTACAGTTGAAAATCAGAATAAAAACCCCGAAATTAATAAAAATGGTAAAACTTTATTAGAAATTATTGAACAGTATTATCAACGAGTTATCAAACCATGGTCTATTTGATAACTGCAATATCGACATTACCTTTACTATGCTCAATAAACCTCAGTGAATTTTTTGCCAATAAGAAGCAGCATAATAATTTCTGAAAATTTCCATTTTCTGCAGCCTGAACTATAGAGAGACTACTCAATATTCTTGAGTATATACTATTCAATAGTCTATACTATTAAGAACTCTATAGTCAGGGCTATTGTCTGGATTATGAACTACACTACTATAGACTACATAGAATACAGTTGTCTATAGTCTGACAATGGCGTAGTCTATATAATGCTGTATAGATTACAATATTATCTAGGCTACAGACAACTCATTTTTCTATAGACCGCTTTGTAATCTAGACTATAGACTACTCCGTATTCCTATTTCTATTCTGGGTTTTATAATAACCTCTAGTCAGGACTATAAGTTTATAACGAATACAATTTGTGCAAAATCATAATTTAATATGTGTATTTTTTCTCACCTTCAGTAGTTTCTTTAGCCTTTTTCCGCCACATTTTTGTTTTTACATTAAAAATATGAAGTTCTACAGTAGTAGGTTTGTACCAATACGACTTTGAATTTGTTTGATAAATCTAAAGGTACGTAATTTTTGGCCACCTGTTCTTTCCCTAGCACTTTTGAAATAAAAATGTCTTGAGTGCATTTTTTACTTCTACTGGTAGGTCTTATTTTTGCAAAATTCCCTGAAGAAGGATAGAAGTTTTTTCTATAATGTGAACATTCTTCCAAGAAAATCCTTCCTTCACCTTAGGTTTCTGTGACAGAAGTTGTGATCTTCGTAATGCAACATTATGGTAAGAATTTTTTGGGGCGCTAGTAGCTGTCGGACAAATATTTCAATTATTTTAATAATTTATTCCTTTTATAATTCTTCCACTTCTGAACAATAGGTAACATCACTATCACTTAATGAATACATTTAAACAAATTACTTTGACGAATCTGAAAGAAATGCGTCCGTACTTCGCTCAAAACACAAACTAACTGTAAATGGCGGCATGTTTATGATTGTTTTTATGTCGATAAATAAGTGAATTATTGACATATGTCAACGATAAGAATTGGAAAAATTTTTAAATTTTAAAATATTGTTTAATTTTAAGATAAGTTTGGTATTGGTATACCAACTGTATACAGTTGAAAATCACAATAAAAACCACGAAATTAATAAAAATATTAAAACTTTATTAAAAATTAGTAAACAGTATTATCAAAACCATTTGATAACTGCAATATCGACATTATGCTTAATAAACCTCAGTGAATTTTTTGCCAATAAGAAGCAGCATAACAACCCTGAAGAAGGATAGGAGTTTTTTTATAATGTGAACATTCTTCCAAGAAAATGCTTCCTTCACCTTAGGTTTCTGTGACAGACGTTGTGATCTTCGTAATGCAACATTTTGGTAAGATTTTTTAGGGGCGCTAGTAGCTGCAGGACAAACATTTCAATTATTTTAGTAATTTATGCCAAAAATTAATTCACATTTTATATAAATACACGATAATTTAATGAATACATTTAAACAAATTTATCTAACTAAGCTAAAAAAATGCATACGCACTTGGCTAAAAACACAATGTAACTGTAAATGGCGGCATTATTATTATTGTGTTTATGTTGATAAATTAGTGATGTTTTGGCGTATGTCAACGATCAATATGCGAACAATTTTAAAATATCGTTTAATTTTTTATTTTTATATAATATTGTGAAAAGAAATACATAGTTAATTTGTTTGCTATAAATTTAATCAATTGCTGCATTGAAAGACACAATAAAAAAGGGAAATTATTAACAACGGTAAAATGTTATTAAAAATTATTAAAACTGTATTATCAACATGTGTTATCAAACCCTTCTCCATTTAAAACTGTATTATCGAATTTATCCCAGAATGGGTTAATGAACCTCAGTGAATTTTTTGCCAATAAGAAGCAGCATAATAATTTGTGTAAATTTTCATTTGTTTACAATTTTTTCACTAGCGAAATTTTAATATTTTTACCAAAATAAACCACAAGAATTAAAATGTCCGAAGAGAAATCAAATCTCGCCATAATAAGAGATCCGAATAAGGCTTCTAGTCGTATTTTTATTGGCAATTTACCCCAATGTACGCGTGACGACCTGGAAAGTATTTGTCTACCCTATGGCAAAGTTTTAGCTACACTAGTACAGAAAAATTTCGGTTTTGTGCAATTCGAATCAGAAGAGGTGGCCAATAAAGTGGCCGCTGCTTTAAATAAGTCGACTTTTAAGGGGAATACGGTGACAGTACGTAATGCAGCCCATTCAAAGAAAAATCAACAGAATTCTAATGTCGCAGCCAACAGCAATAATAATTGGTCTCAGGCCGGTGCAGGAGTAATGCCACAGACAGCTGTAGGTGGTGGTGTCATGGACAATGTCGATAATTCCAATTATAATGATTGTGAAATTATTGTGGTCGATCGTAAAAATACGTAAGGAGAATTAAGTTCTAGTTTTTACTAGAAAGATTGTAAATTTGTTTGTTTTTGTTTAGCAAATATGCCGAAATGATTGAAGATCGTTTAAAGCGTTTAAATTTAAGAGTTGATGTTTTATTTCCCAATGCTGATGTTCCCCTGGGGAAAGTGGTAAGTTAAATCAAAACTCAGCACGTCCTCATCAGTACGTAGTCCACAGTTTGCATTAACAGTCTTCAGTATGGAGAATAGACAAATCTGTAGTCTGGACTATAGTCCAAACTGTAGACTTCTCCATAGTCCAAACTGTAGAGTACTCCATAGTCCAGACTATGGACTATGAAATCTGAACTAAATACTATAAAGTCTGGACACTGTTATTTGTCTACATTTCAAATATGCATATTTGCAACTTCCTTCTAGCTTTCGAATATTGCTTCACGTGACTGCTTGTACGCGATACTTGTGACAAATCAACACGAGGAACATAATAGCATAACAGTTAATATTCTATATGGACAACCTGCCGAACATCGTAATATGCCGGTGGAAGACGCCATCAAGCTGGTGAGCGATGATTTCCGGAAAAAAATTATGCGAGACAAAGCAGCTGGTATGGCAAATCAACAGCAGCAGCGTAACATGCCACCCGTTCCTATGAATGTACCTCAAATGGCCCCCCATCTGCCAAATCCTGTACCTATTATTCCGGCCAATACCGCAAATTACATGGCACCACCTTTAAAAGAACGTCACCCGGATGCCATACAAATGTTGCTAAATCTATTGGCGTCCAATATGCCACTAACGGTTTTACAATACGATCGTATTATTAAATATCTGCAGCAAAGACGTGAGCTACAACTGAAGGTGGAACTGGGAGATGCTGCTGAAGAAATGATTAAATCAACACCAGATCCAGAAATTGAATTGCAAAAGAAAATTCTTAATATTTTAAATAAACCCTCTGTGGCTGAGACGCATTATGAATTATTGTATCCCAACTTGGAAGCGGTACAGCAAGATGAGCGCATGTTAGATTTACTTAGAGATGTAAGAGTACAAAAAGCTTTAGACTCTTTAATGGATTCCAATCTGGTGTCCACTGTGGAAAATTTAATGAAATTTTAATTCTTTTAACATATTTATCAACAAAAAATAAAGTTTATGTTTAATAATAAACAAACTAATTATATAAAATTTTTTCAATTTAAGGCCAAGAACGTTTTGCTTCGTGACCCTCATATTTGCCACGATATTTAAGACCGGTCACTAAAGTCGAACTCTTAGGGAAGGCAGTTTGTCCATTAAACTTCGTATCATTCTCGGGATTGAAACGCACATAATCATATTGTATATGCAAGTTTTCGGGTAATTGCATTTGTTTTAAAGCATCATAGGGAACCGTGGTGTTAACAGAGGTTTCGTAGAATTTGATAACATCACCTTTTTTAAAAAATATGCAAATATTTATAAAGTTACAAAAGATTTCAAGAATCATTAGTCTTACATACCCACTGTCTTTAATTCATGCACTTGCGAATTGGGTACACTGTGTTGAAAATCATTAAAGCAGGCTTGTAAAAATTTAAATTTCTCCTCCAAGTTTTTGAGATTATAATCCTGCTTGTTGGATATTTGTAAAGAGGCGCAAATCGCCTGTACCTTTTCGGCAACATTAGCGGGAGCCTTATAAGTTTTATGGGGCCGGAGAAAACTGCAAGAGTATAAACATATTTTAATTTTATTTATATTATTATAGTGTCAAATCTTACCCTTTATCACTTATGGACTGAGCTGTAGCCTCAATTTGTCCCACCGTTTTTGCTTTGGTTGAGTAACATCTTGACCAAGTGTTCTAAATGAAAATTGTACAAATATATACAATTTTGTTGAGATTAGTATTCAACTTTATAATACTTACACTTTTTTGTAACAAGTTGCTTAAAGTTTTAGTTAAATTTGCTTGCATTCTTCAATATTTTTTCGCTAATTTCCTGAGTTTTCTAATATTTTTTAGTTAATGCGGTTGGTGGATTCATAAAGATAACAAAGTTGACTTAAAAATCTAACGCCGTTGTTATAAAACAGCTGTTCAGGTTGATAAGGCAGTAATTCAGTTGTGAATGAATTTGGCAGCACTTATTCTTATTTGAAAATAATTTCAGAACCAAATTTTTCGCAGTTATATTTCGGAAAGGAATTGTTATGTACTTACAAGAAAATATAAAATCTGATAAAAAATATAAAATCTAAAAGTGTCGATATATCGCAAATCCATCAATATAACGGTGGCAATTAATATTAAAAAAATGGTACAAAAGATTTCAAGTTTTCATTTGATGTATGGATATATACCAATATCTTAATAAATTTGGGATGATATTTAGTAGTATCATTAGTAGTAGTAATAATACTAGTATAAACTTTCCTCCTCTCAAAAAACAACAACAATTAATTAATATCGAACAAAAAACATAAATTTTATATACTTCAACCTTTCTAAACTGCAATATTATCCCCATTTATTAAGATATAAGTATATATCAATACACCAAATGAAAGCTTGAAATATTTTATACAATTTTGATCGATGGATTGATTGGTTCATGAATAGGGAAGATATTGATAAGACTGTTAATGTTTTAAAAATAAAAATTTTAAGTTTTTGTATATATTTTTAATATTTTTCTTCCATTGTTGGAGAAATTTATTTCATTTTAGTTTATTCTTAATCTATACTAAACAAAATACAACCCCAATCAGCTGCCGCGTACAAAGAATGTTGTGTACTTCCACCTCTGACTTGGCTGCGCACGACACTCAAACATGAGTAGGGTTCTATAAATCGACTTTCGAATAATCGAACAATCGACTTTTTGTCGAAAAAAGTCGAAGTCGACTATTTTGTTCCAAAAAAGTCGATAACTCGACTATCGTCTATGAAAAAAGTCGAAAAGTCGACTTTGTAAATAAAAGTCGAAAAGTCGGAAAGTCGAAAAAAGTCGATAAGTCAAAAAAAGTCGAAGAAAGTCGAAAAAAGTCGAAAAGTCGGAAAAAGTCTAAAAGTCGTAAATAGTCGAAAATTTTAAAAAAGTGGAAAAGAGGTCAAAAACTCTAAAATAATCGGAAAAACTCGAAAAAAGTAAAAAAATAGTCGAAAAAAGTCGAAATAAGTCGAAAATAGTCAAAAAGTCGTAAAAAAATCGAAAAGTCAAAAAGTCAGAAAAAGTCGAAAAAAGTCGGAAAAAGTCGAAAAATGTCGAAAATTCGAAAAAAGTCGAAAAAAGTCGAAAAGTCGACCATTTATATAATACTAAAAGTCGAAAAGTCTAAAAGTCGACTTTTAAATAAATGAAAAAGGTCGAAAAGTCGAAAATTCGACTTTTCATAAAATGGAAAAAGTCGAAAGGTCGAAAAGTCGACTTTTAACTAAATGAAAAAAGTCGAAGAGTCGACTTTTCGTTTCAACTATAGAACCCTAAACATGAGTATTTCTAATGAGCAGATAAAAGCTGCACTACCCTAGGGCGGTTTTTATTTCCTGCAGCACATAAAGCGAATTTTCCGAGGCGTATACATTATAAGGTGTAGCCATTTAATTTTGAGAGAGAATTGCTTTATATGGAGTTTGACAGCTTCGGGCTAAATTTCAATGAATAAAAAAAAACAATCAGCTGTTAAACAGACTTCACCTTATTAGATGCGCCATGCGTAGTGCTACCATATGTTATGTTTCCCCATTTTTTGTTTTTCGAGATTCGAAAAAGTTTTCAATTTTTATTTTAATAAAAAAAAAGTTTTTTGAAACTGAATGCTGTTTTGACATTTTTTTAATCAACAAATAAGTTTAAAATACTGCTGCACTATGCTAATATGCGAGATATTCGTAAAACTTTTGTGAACATTGAACATAGACATTTGATATTTTATGGAACCCATTGGTTCACATCCTCTGGGTCTAGTAAGACCCAAAATCTTTGCTATTTGAGTCTCCAATGTTGGGCAGTTACAAAGCATATTTACAGAGGTTTCAAGAGTAAATTGATGGTATCTAAGACTACAATATCCAGTAATCCCTTACCACTGATGTACCAATTTTCATTAAGCTATTTAAAATTGATTTTTTTAGGAGTATTTTGTACTTTTAGTACTTAAAAAAGTTTTTTTTATTGAAAAAACTATTTTTTTCTTGGAAATAAAAAGTTTTTTTTTTCAAAAAATATATGGCAACACTGGCCATGCGATATTTCTGTGTACAGCAGCACTCTCTCTCTTCGAAGCGAAAAACAGTTTCGTTTTTACTTCTTTTCGCAGCAGCAGACAAACTTCTGTGAACTTGAAAACAAATTGCACTCGTAAAGAACAAATAAAATCTTTAAATAATTTGCAAATTCAAAAATATATATACTGAAAAGTGTAAAAGAAAAATATATTTATAAAAAAACACTGTTAATAAGGAAAATAGAAGCAAAAAGTTAATAGAAAAAAAGTAATTTGTGTTTTTTTGTATGACAAGGTTACACACAGATATTTGGCATTGTTGCTAGTGTGTGTATGTGTGTAAGTCTCTTTTTTTTCGCCTAAACGTGTTTGTGTATGTGTGGGTGCATTTTTGCCGACAACATAAAAGAAGGAGACAAAACTATAATACATTAAATTTGAAATAAACAAGAGTAAAAGAGATAAATGGTGTGTGTGGAAATTAAAAAGAAATAAGAAAATTTTGTTAACAAGAAAAAACGCAATTTTATAAGCGAATTGTTGCTTTAAAAATTTATTAAATTATAAAAAAATTATTTAATTAATATAAACAAATAAGAGGAGAGGAATAATTTAAGAAATTTAATTTAAAGTGTGAACAAAGTGTCATGTAAATTAAGGGAAAGTTTTTACATGTTTTGTTATTGCAGTGAGAAGAGAAAATCAATTATTTTTGTCATAGTGTGTGTGTGCAAGCAAGTAAACGACTTCACTAGAAGTGAGTGTGAGTGGAAGAAGAGTGTCGGAAAGAAATGGCAACAATGATTAAACAGGGTTGCAATACAAAGAGATTTACTTTATTAAAAATGTTTTAAATAGTAAAATAGAATAAAATTATTTATTTTACATTAATTTATAAAAAAATTGAAAGTATTTTATAATATATATCAATAAAAATCATTACATATTTAGTGTTTTATATACACAAAAGTACTTAAAAATGCAACTATGTAAGGCTGTATAATAGTAGAAGACAAAAAGACAAGAAAAAAATCTGTATATTTCTCTGTTCGACAACGCCATTTTCAATTCTATAGTCGTCGCAGTCGCAAACGTCATGTCGTCGTTGTCGTCAATGTTGCTCTACGCGTTTTAAAGAAAAATTTCAGTGTGTGTCCCCTACGTTTTATTTTTTTATTTAAAATATTAAAAGAAATAATTTATTACGGTAATTAACAAATCAAATACCATATCCGCTTAGGGTGTTTTTATATTAAAAAAAAAAAAAATATTAAATAAAAGAGTGTTAAGAAGTGTTTTGTTTTTTAAAAAAGTGTTTCAAGAGATATTTAAAAAAATATCGATTAGAAAGAAAAATCAGAAGTGAATGGAAAGTGGAGCAAAAAATTGTTAATGAGCAAAACTATAATAATAACAAAATAATCTTAAAACTTATGCCAGGTGTTGTGTAAATATCTAGTAAAATGGAAATTATTCCAGAAAAATATTAAGAAATTACAAAAAATTAAAAATGAATAAGAAAAATATAGTCGATCGATTTTAAATATCAAAAGGAAAAATTCCTATATGACGCGTAATTTTGCAATTTTTTTCTTTTATTATTATGTTCTCTTTTGCTATTTCCGTTAAAAGGGAAGAAAAACATATAAAAAACAGCAAAAAGAAGACTACTTTGAGTATAAAAACGACAAAAAGCAAAAAAAAAAAAATAATAAAGAAATACAAAAACAACAACAACTATACTAAAGCAGCAGCAGCAATTCAACATAAAGTAGAAGTTCATTTGTTGTTTTCTATCTTTTGTGTGTGTGTGAGTTTTTTTGTGCGGTTGTTTGTTTTCTTTATTCGTTCATTCGTGAGTTGGTTGGAGCATTTATTAACTTTGTACAATAAGTTGGCAAAAAAAAAAAAAAAAAAATAAAAGAAAAATTAAACCAGCAAACAAGCTTCTTTACACCACCAACAGAGCCAGAGAGTAATATCATCGGCAGTGAATATATTATTTTCGTTTTATTCTTATTTTTTCTTTTTATATTATTATTTCAACACAAGAAAAACAAAAGAAAAAGCCCCCAAAAGGCAAGATGATTGTGAGGAAAATAAATGTTAAATCTTGTAAAAACTTTGCCCTCATAATAAGTTTTAGTTTAAAAAACAAAATAATATAATAATTTTTTTTTTTAAATTTTGAGTTTTCCTAATCAGATGGTATAAATAACCGGCGGAATGCATATTGGTATTACTACCTTACGCCCCAAACATGCATTACACTTCATTTATTAAGAAATTGGAATTTAAAGTATTGTAAAAATCAATAATCAATTAAACAAGTTTGACAGATTTTCAATAGCATTGGAAAATTTCAATAAGTGCTCTATAATAGAAAATTTTGGATAATTTTTTAGAGAAAATATTTGATAAATTATGTATTATTCTTCTCTAATAGCAGATATTTTTTTAAAAAATCATAAAAATAAATTTCTTTTCAATATAGGTACATTTTCTTTAATTCTTTTTCTTAATAATACCCATTTTTAATAAAAAATTTTTAAGAGATTAAACATTTTATTATTCAAAAAAGACCAAATTTTTAATTTATTTTCGATAAACGTTTTATTTTTATAGAAAATTTTCAATAAATTATCTATTTTTAAAGAAAAGCCTCGAAAAATTTTCTAATTTAATGAAAAAGTTTGGAAAAATATTTTTTATAGAATTTTTTTAATAGAAAATGTCGGAATATTACTTTAATTGTCTCGAATTTTTTTATTTTTAAGAAAAATTTCTCTAAATTTTCAATTTTTATAAAATAAATTAATTAAATTTTTCTTTTTAAATTTTTTTTGTTCTATTTCTTTAAACTTTTGGTTTTTTAGACAAGTTTTGATAATTTTTCTATTTATCAAGAAAAGTTTTGAAAAATTTTATATATTTTTCCAAAAATATTTTATTTTTTTGGACACATTTTATACATTAGTAGATATCCTCATGAATTTTCGATTATTTTACTTTTTTTTAATTTTTTTAAAATTTTGAAGTTTTTTAAACTATTTTTAGCTTTCAAAAAAATATTTAATATAAATATTTTTATAGTCTACTTTTAATTTTTATAGAATATTTCGATAAAATGTATACTTTCACTGAAATTATTTGATTTATTTTGTATTTTTATAAAAAATTTTAATAAATTCTCATCTTTTTAATAATATTTTAATAAATTTTCTATATTTTAAAAACATTTTCGATAAAATTAAAATTTTTGTAAAAAAATGTCTATAAATATTAATATTCCTTTTTTAAATATAAAATTTATTAATTTAAAAAAGGAATATTAAACTTTTTACAGAAAGTTTTCGTTAAATTTTTATAAAATACATATTTTGCCTAAAGTTTTTTTTTTCATTAAACATTTTTGCTTAATTTTCTTTTTTTTATAGAAAAATATCCAATAATATTTCCTCTTTTGAAATAAAGCTTTATATATTTTCTATGTTTGAAGAATTTTTTCTAGTTTAATAACATTTTTGATAAAATTTGAATGAATTCGATATTCGATTTGATATTATTTTTTTTAAATTTATAGTATATCTTCGATTAGTAGATATTTTCAATCACACTATGCCTAATAAAAGTAGAAAATAAATAGGAGGTTTCGTAAAATATTTGTTTTCAAATAATTTTCTTTACGAGACTTTTTATTAAAAACTCTTCCGTACTTGATTAAAATACTTCAATACTAGGAGGACGTGTTTTTCAGACAGTGGAGCTAATCCTATTATCGGAATAATTGGCTTTTTTCGATTCTTCAAATTCAATTGTAGTCGGTTAAAAGATTTTTAATTTCAATCTTTAATACTTATTAAATACCTTAAAGTGTATTAATACTTTTTAATAAATAAAGATAAATATGATTATTAATTTTCAAAATTTTATACCTGGTTTAGCTTAACTGATAAATATGTTTGTTTTTAATTTGATATTTGCTTGGTTAGTTACTTGATTATTGCGGCTATACTTACTGCCAAAAGTCATATGAGAAATAAACAACAACTCCACCCCCACCCGTCTTTCCCCTCTTGCATTGAGTGTGTTGTCATCGTCTCTATACTCCATTAATAGTTGATGAAAACAAAAACACACAACGGCAACAAAAAATATATAATTATGTATGAACTACTGTTGTTGTTTTTTTATGTGTGAGACTTTTTTTCTTTCAGTATTATATGCTCTCTTTCTCTCTCTCTTTGACAGAAAAACGAAGCGGAGTATTTTTGTGTTATTACATTTTTTTTCTTATATTCAGTGTAAAGTGTTTTCATCTTTTATTTTTGTTGGTTCCTCTTTGATTGTGGATTTTTCAAGCGAACTCTTGTGTGCGTGCATCGCCCTCGACTTGATTTTAAGTTCTCATACAAAAAAAAAGCAGCAACAATAGACAAAAGAAACCTAAATAACTTGTACAAAAACAAAAAAAAAAAATGAATAAAAAATCAAAGAAAAACGTAGGTATGTGTTGTTGTATGTACCTATACAGACAGTAAATAAAAACACTTTGTAGTAATTACACAAATCTAGAGAAAAGCCAGCAAATTTATTAAAAAAACTTTTTTATCATCATCATGCAAAATAAAACCTACGTAAATAATTTTTTTTAATATTAACTACTAGAATTGAAAATTATAGAAAAACAAACAAATAAATCTTCACAAATTTGTTCTATACATCTGTATTTGTAAACATTTCTACCTATTAGGTTCAGTCTGTGTTACCCCTTCATTTGTTGTATATTTCCTTTATTATTTTAGCTCGTTTTTTTTGGTTTAACAATTCTGCCCTTTTTAAAAATTTGGTTGTTAATTTAATCTAAGTAAAAGAGAAGAAACAATGTTTTTTTATATGCTGTCATCAGTGTTGCCTTTTTGGGAATCTGTTATACCTTCATCTTTCTTCTTAAACAGGGAGTACCACAGGGCTGTGTTCTAGCTCCCTACTGCTGAACTTCTACATCTATAAACTCCCCACACCTCCACAAGATGTGGAACTTTATATCATATGTGGACGATTGCACCATTATGGCGATGGGTAAAACGTATGATCTATGCGATCCAGTGAATGGTTATCTTAGAGAAATATACAATTTCTTCATTAGACATAAACTGAAACTATCACCAGAGAAGTCTTTAGCAACACTCTTCACCACCTGGACAAAGGAGATAAACATGAATTTAGGCGTCATAGTCGATGGAACCCAAATACCGACTGTGAACCTCCCAAAAATTTTGGGGGTCACCTTTAACAGTCTGTTTACCTCAGCTCATGCCACTGCATTTATGTACTGATTGCGAAGTAGAAACAAGGCTCTCAAAGCTCTAGGCGGCAGCTCTAAGTAATGGACAAAGAAACCTTGGTGGCTACCTATAAAACAATTGGCCGGTCAGTGGGCAATTATACTGCTCCCGTGTTGTCTCCTTCACTGAGTGATATCCAGTAGAGAAATATTCAAATCTGCCAAAACGCTGCCCTACGGACTGTAATATTCTGCATGCAAATAACCTCGGCATGCCAACTATACGAGGAAACGAAGGTACTCCCAGTGTAGTAACATTATGTCATGCTGACTATAAGTTACTACCGGAATGTATTTGAAATACTACTAAATCCCACTGTTGGATACTCTCCTGAGGCATGTCAGGAAGGACCTTCGTGTATACGAGGAGATTATACGAAGATATGTGCAGTATCCTTTGGATCGTAATTCGTATGCAGCAGTTTGGAACGGTATTCATAGAGACGCCATCAATATCATGGTTTCAGGTTACCGCAACAGGCTCAACTATCCTACCCACCCTACTTTACTTATCCCAATGGATTTATGGACTAACCCTGTAGAAGTAGCCCAATTTCTTGGCTTAGACTTAATTCCCATATTCTGAAGAACCCTTATTAGAGAAGTCTTTTTTAATACAAAAGTTCTACAGAGAAATTAATTTCACTTCCTCTATTACAAAGTCGAGTGAAATCAGAGCAAATCTAAATAGCCTAAAATAACATGTCTATGAAACGAAGGTTCCTATCCTATAGGTATACCAAATGTTTTTCCATAGTCGTATTATCAGACTGTGAAGATAGATTAGTTTGCTAATGTCATATATCACTTGGCAATATAATGAATCAAACTTGGAACTATCCTCTAACCTAGTAGGTATAAATAATTCCTATTTTCTGTATGACGACGGCTATGAGCGACGGCTATGAATAAATGAATCTGAATTTATTAGTAGGATTGAAGGGAAATTTCTAATTTTTATATTTGGTGGCGTATCGATGTATCATACTTTGTGGATACCACAAACAGAGGGAACCCAAAGCGCTACGGATTTACTTTTCCTCTACATTTCAATTTATCTGCTTGTAAATGTATTCTCTTTATTAATGATTCAACGTTTTTTCTTTCTTATTTTCATTTGTGTTTGTTTTATAATAATTTAAAATGGCAACACTGATACAACAAAAATAAAAGCAAAAACAAATAAAATACAATAGCAAAGCAAAACAAGCAAAATTTCCATTGTGTAGACGACAATCGATGTTGTCGTTGCCGTCGTGTCGTTGCTCATTCGTTGGGCAGTCAGTAGTCGTCAGTCGTATACGGTTGTTAACATTTTACTTAAAATACTCTTTCTACATTTAATATTTTTGCACAAAAATATAAAGAAATTTTCTACATTGAATAATTTGTATAGATACTTAACAAAAGTAGAGTGAAAAACATGTAAACTATTAAGAATATATTTTAAAATAAAATTTATTGGGAAAATACATAATAAAAATTAAAAAAAAAACAAATCAACAAAAAGTGAAAATGTTATTATCTTTATAAAAAATTAAAACAATAACAACTAAAATAAGAAGAAGAATTGATTTCATAAATATAAATGTTTGTCGTCATCATCATTATCATCATTCATCTATTACACAAAAGTCGTCTACGGTTGGTTGCTACTTCATACATGTATAAAAAAAAATCAAACACACAAAAGAAAAACAACAACAACAACAACAATGTTTAGCTAAACTTTATAATATTTGTATACACAAACAAACTCACTTGTTTTAATAAGAAGAGTGTAATATATTTTTGTATGTTATTTTTTGCTGTCTACGTCGATGAATTTTAACGATACCAAACTAATAATAAAAAATTGAGTTTTTGTTGCTTGTTTTTTTTTGCTTTGCTCAACACAAATTTCTCTCTTCTTACTTGTACTCACTCCTTTGCAAAATTTAACTAATATAATTTTACTCTTATTTACATTCTCCTTTTGTATTGTTGTTTTTTTTTTTGTCGTCAACTTTAGTAGTAAATTCATAAAAAAGTACATAATATAAAATAAATCAAAACAAAAACATATCTATATATATAATTTCTTAACAAAAACATCAGCAGCAGCATCTTATTAAAAAATGTGTTTTATTTTACAATAATTTTAAAACGTGTGCCTTCGATGGGTCGTGCATTCGGCAACAATTCGTTATTGTTAAAAAAAAAAAAAAAACAAAGTGAAAATTTCATTAACATGCGCGTGTGAGAGTTAAATTAAAAAAGAAATTAAATAATACATATTCACAAAATAGTCAATAAAATAGACAACGACCTACGTATAATAAAAATGTTGTTATTGTGGTCATTTTTATTTTCAAATGATTTTCATTTATTTACGAAAAAATTTACTTAATTTAGTGTGAAGCTTTAATTCATAAAAGTAAATAACAGGCAAACCAACAGCAAAAAAAAAAAAATCGCCAGTAAATCAACAACAACAAATTCTAAAAAATAATTAACAAAATTCCAATGATAAAAAAACAAAAACAATAAAATCCAAAAATTTACATATAAAATAAAGCTATCAACTTGTATTTGTATAAAAAAAAAACTCAACTCACCTTCTTCTAACATAATCTCACTCTCTATTTTTCTCCTTCAACAGATGTCTCTTTATATTCGTACACCACCTCTCTAATTATGAGCGAAACTTTACATTTTAATTCAAAACAATATAACAGTGTGAGTGTGTGTGTTTTACTACATTACTGTTGTAATAAATAACAGCAAATACAAAATAATAATAAATAAATATAAAAAAGAATAAGTACAAAATCTAAATGTATTATAAAATCGCCTTCTTCTTCCAATTGTTATGAAAAGAAAAATAAACAAGAAGAATTTTATAAAAACACAAATTTGCCTCGTAAACAATTAAGACAGCAGCATAAATAATTAAACTTTCATATAAAAAACGTAACCATTAAAAAAAAAAACAATACCATTGTTGTTTTATTACTATCTTTGCCAATCATCTATAGTTATAATCTTAAAAAAAAAGAACAAAAACAACAACAAACAAAAATTAATATCAACAATTGAGAAAATGAGGAGCTGCTGTATTGCAAACAAAATCTATGAACTATGACGCATCAATCACATCAGACTAACGGCGCTAGTTTGGAGGATTGCCATACAAACTTTTTTGCCTTGGTGAGTAGTATGTTGTTTTTTAATTTATTTTAATTAAGAGTATTTGCAAAATTTACATTTTGAAAAATGTAAATGTTTTGCGAAAAAGAAAAAAATCGTTTCTGGGTTGTAGTTCACTCACGTCATTAATCTCTAAACCTCTCGATCTAAAGTCTCCCAACACTCTCGACTAAAAATAGATCTGTAGTTTTTCCACTAAGAGTTATCTTTATTATTCGCTACTGATTAATCTCTAGTCTCTCGACTATAAATTGATCTTTAGTATCTTGATATATCGCTTCTATAGATTGATCTATAGTATCTTGACTAAAGATTGAACTTTAATATTCGACTATGATTAATCCCTAGTCTCTCGACTATAAATTGGTCTATAACTTTTTGACTATAAATTGATCTATTATCTCTCTACTATAGATTGATCTTTATTAATCAAGTATTAATGGGTGACTAGAGAGTAACTCGACTATTGATTAATCTATAACTTTTTCTCTAAAGATTGATCTTGAGACTCACGACTATATTTTGATGTATATTCTCTCGACTATGTATTGATCTTTAGTATATTGATATATCGCTTCTATAGATTGATCTAGTGTATCTCGACTAATGATTAATCTTCATCATTCGACTATTGATTAATCTCTAGTCACTCGACTAGAGATTTGTCTATAACTATAAGAATAGATATTGATCTACAGTCCCTCGACATGAGATTGATTTAAGTCTTTCGACTATAGATGAATCAGTAACAGAGGGCGAAGTCGACTTAAAATTGTCGGCGGCGGCGGCTGAGCCAAAATAATTCGGCGGCGGCTTAAAGTCGGCTCAGAGCTGAATGTTTTTAAGGAAATTTAAACTCTTACATTTATGTTCAAAAATAATGTAAATATCAAAATTTAGATACTGGGAGGATCACTTTGCTTAAAATATTAATAATAAATGATTTTTAAAAAAAGTCTCAAAAGTTTCTAGATTTAGTCTACTTTAATTCTCATTTACACTCTCTTGAATCTTATTCAGAAACTGTAGATGGTATATAGGAACAAATAAAAAATATTTAAATTAACAAGACATACATTTACATATCTTTTAAATATTTTTTTTTTTTTTTTTTTTCAAAATATATATATTATTAATATAAAAAAATGTTAGCATAATAGTTACGAAACAACTTATAGCACATTCACATTCATATAAAAAATATAACAACGAATATACATATCGGGAGTATTGAAAATTATAAAATATCGCTTGTTACATATATCCTTTGTAAAAATCTTGTACGTTTTCAAAATATAATTTGGCCAATAATAATTCATTATGTTACAGAATCAAAAATAATTGGTCCTACAGTCTATAGCCTAGTTAATAAAAATATTAAAAAATTTTAGTAAACTTAAGCCGAGTGTTTCGGCGGCGGCTCAAGCAACTAAATATAGTTCGGCGGCGACTAAGCGCCGACTCGAAGCCGGTCGACTTCGCCCTCTGATCAGTAATCTGTCGACCAAAGATTAATCTTTAGTTTTTTGAGTATAGATTGATCCATAGTCTCTTAAGTAGAGATTAATATTTGGACTATCCGACTATAGATTGATTGATTTTTAGCCTCTCGACTATAGATTGTTCTATAGTCTTTCGATTATAAAATGATCTTTAGTATTTCGTCTTAAGATTGATATGATCTATTCTCTAAGTTCTATTTACTTTCGACTATATACATATATAGTGAAATTATAAAAAAGAAATAGGTATAAATTTAAAAAATATTTATTACATTTCTGGCAACACCGTACTTCCCTCTCTCTCTTAAGTACTATTTCTATTTTCTTTTTATGTTAGATATTATTGTTTTTGTATTTGTGTGTTTATATTTTAATAAAAAAATTATATATATTTTTCTTTAAGTATCATACACACAACTTGTTTTAAACTTGTTTGTCTAGTTTGTGGTAAGAAGAAAACAAATACACTTAGGAGTAGTAATGTATGTTGTTGTATTTTTCTTTCTTATTTTATATACATGTGAATGAGTTTGTCAAATAATATATAAATAAAAATATAACTGTTGCACAAAAATAAAACTGTGAAACAACAACTAACTATAATAACAGGTGTTGTATTTCTGTTCATTTGTAGCGTGTGTGTGTTTTTTCATTGTTTTTCTTTTTCGTATTTTTTTTATTTTTTTGGTAAACTGTAATTTTATTATAAATAATAGGTGTGATATTGACCTCCCCCTTAACAATAATAAAACTTGATTACATTGTACAAATGTTATTAAAATCAAATATTTATATTTTAACACCTTTTTAGTAGTTGCCTTTTGATTTGATTATGACTTTGTATTATTTTCTGGTAAGGATAATTATAGTACTAAGTATTTATTCACATCTACATAATTTTTTTTTCCAATATACCTACCTAGTCCTTGTTACTTGGAAGTCTTATCTCCGCATCTTGCTTTTCTAAATCCAAACTCGAGTCTTGAATATCTTATAAAGTTCCAAAATCTAAAACAATACATCTGAAATATATTGACAGCCACACAATACCCAAGACTGTCAATAAGAGAACTTCAGGAACTCAACCGCAATTTGTGTGTGGGATGAGACGATTGATAGTCTTTACGACAGCACATAGTAGAATTATGACGCTGTGATATTGTATTTTATACTTCTCTGTTATAAATATACCTTTGAATAATCTACTTAAGGAATTAGTACCTTTTCGCAGTTGTTTTAGTGTTTCTGAATAAAATTGCAAAAAAAAAACAAGAAAGTTTATAATATTGTTGTTGTGTCTTATCAATGATATGCCGTTTTAAAGTTGTACGTACTCTTTTCACTTTTCTTTAGTATGTTGATGTATTTCTTTTCTTTTTCATTTTCTTGTTTTTACCTTTTATTTATAGTAAAAAATTTAAATGTGTTTGTTTGACTGTGTTTGTTGCATCCCAGTGGGGATAGTGAGCGAGAAAGAATGAGTTGTAGCGAACTCACTCAATAAACGTCATAGTTGCTTATCGGGGGCATAAGTATCTGTGTCCAAACATGAGTTGGTATATTTTTTTATAGATTTCAAACTGGTATAATAATTCTGTAGGTTTTCTTTTGTTGTTATTTTTTTTTTGTATTAAAACATTTTTGCAATACCTTAGTTTGTTGCTCCCCTTATGAAACATATTAACCAGATATGGATAATTGAAATTTTGAAATAGTTTTTAAGGTAATTTCCTCTAGAGTCTATAGATTATAGATTATATTAGACTATTAATTATTCTAGACTAGACTATAGATTACATTAGGTTATAAATTATTCTATAGACAATAGGCAATAATATGGACGAGATTATAGACTATAATATAGATTAGACTGTAGACTAACCTATAGACTTAATTATAGACAATACTATAGACAAGACTAAACTACTGACTAGACTATAGAGAATACTATAGACAAACTATAAACTAGACTATAGAGAAAACTATAGACTACACTATAGACACAACTATAAACTAGACTATAGACTAGACTAGACTATAGACAAGACTATAGACAAAACTATGGACTACACTACAGACTGTTCTGTCGACTTTTTATCAAAAATTAATATCACTACCGCCAATAGATGTGAAATTTTTGTTCCATTGAAATGTACATTCCTCTCGAAGGGAAAATTGCTATCGTGAACAATTCATTCACAGTAGTTGATTTTGTATGTAACAGCTGTTCAATGTTTACAAAATTCTATCAACAAATTTCACAACGTCAAAAAAGTTAGTGAACGAATAATGTGAAAAGGGAACACATTTCACGTGAAATGTTGATTGCCGATAGGGGTGAATATGTTAGAAAAATTACCGATATAAAAATGTGAATTTTCCATGCCTGATATTAACAAAAGATATAGAGTTAGTGAGATTTGGAGGGAGAGATACAGTAAATTCGAAAATAGACATGTAGAAGAGTTTATTAAAAAAGAGAGCAAAAATTGTACAAACAGAAATGAACGAATATCAAAGATGTGAAAAAACATACAAGTAAAGATAAAAAATAATTATTAATATTTTTAATACTTTTCTTAAACACTAATAATAATTTCTCTCTTCTCTTTATTCTAGACTGATTTATGCGGTATAAAATGGCGCAAATTTGTTAACAATGAGCGACCAAATGCATCCAGTGATCCACTGGATGATCCTATCTTACGCTCCTATTCAAGATGTATGCAAGCTGACATTCTATGTGTTTGGAGACGTGTTCAGTCTACCAGACAAGATAACTCGGATCCAAGTGCAATGTTTGATGTTAACACCTCAAAAGTGCATCCACCTCTATCACTAGCGGCCGCCAAAGAATTATGGATATTTTGGTATGGCGAGGAGCCAGATCTTACCGATCTGGTGGATGCGGAATTATTAAAAGTGGCTGGTAAGTGTAAATTTTCATAAATCTATTATTTGGTTTATTAAGTTGCCAGACGATGGTAGCGGCGAAAATTTCGCTTAATTTCAAGGCCATGAAGGAGGAGGAATTTAATACAACTTAATAATATAGGCGTGTGTATAGGTATACATATGTGTACACAACCCACCGGCTTTTGGTATTTTGAGTTTTTTTAATATTCAATGACGAAGAACGATGTTTTTTGCCATTTCTGCCACCACCTCCAATCAAACAAACAGCACATTTCTTCTCGACAGAGTCATGCTACTTGCTTCATTCTCTTTGTTGTCATGTTTTCTTATAAATTCTTTTTCATTTCTTTTAAATTAACTTTTCCTGTTATGCATTCACGTTGTTTGTCTTTTCTTTCTTCATTTGTTGTTGTCAAAGTTTAAGAAAAATATGTATTTTTTCTGCCAGTTTGTTTTGATTTCTCTATTGATTGAACATGACCGAAGAGCGAAACCATAAAGGAATTACCAAAGAAATTTGCTAAAATTTGAGAGAAAAATTTCAATTGAGTAAAATTCATTTATCTCTATCAGTTTTTGTCTAGTAAATGGTTTTGCTGGTCTTAAGAATAATGTTTGTTGTTATTTATATGTTTGTTTTATTTTGGTGTTTTTGGCAAAGCAACATCCAACAACACTTGTACAATGTACATATTTGTATGTATGCGGATGATGGGTTAATAATACATATTTTGATATAGTTTTTAAAGTAAATAACCCAGTTGTTAGTTCGATTTAACTTTATCTGTATTTGTTAGATACATAAATACAAAATTTCTATTTTATTATAATTACGGTTAAAATATTTTATTGTAAAATTAATGAATGAAAGGGCAGATAGTAATAGGTATTAGGTGTAATTTTTTTGCAATTCAGAATATAGACTAGACTATAGACTAGACTAACTAGACTATAGACTAGACTATAGACTAGACTATAGACTAGACTATAGACTAGACTAAGACTAGACTATAGACTAGACTATAGACTAGACTAGACTATAGACTAGACTATAGACTAGACTATAGACTAGACTATAGACTAGACTATAGACTAGACTATAGACTAGACTATAGACTAGACTATAGACTAGACTATAGACTATACTAGACTATAGACTAGACTATAGACTAGACTATAGACTAGACTATAGACTAGACTATAGACTAGACTATAGACTAGACTATAGACTAGACTATAGACTAGACTATAGACTAGACTATAGACTAGACTATAGACTAGACTATAGACTAGACTATAGACTAGACTATAGACTAGACTATAGACTAGACTATAGACTAGACTATAGACTAGACTATAGACTAGACTATAGACTAGACTATAGACTAGACTATAGACTAGACTATAGACTAGACTATAGACTAGACTATAGACTAGACTATAGACTAGACTATAGACTAGACTAGACTATAGACTAGACTATAGACTAGACTATAGACTAGACTATAGACTAGACTATAGACTAGACTATAGACTAGACTATAGACTAGACTATAGACTAGACTATAGACTAGACTACAGACTAGACTATAGCCTAGACTATAGACTAGGCTATAGACTAGACTATAGACTAGACTATAGACTAGACTATAGACTAGACTATAGACTAGACTATAGACTAGACTATAGACTAGACTATAGACTAGACTATAGACTAGACTATAGACTGGACTATAGACTAGACTATAGACTAGACTATAGACTGGCCTATAGACTAAAATGATCATAGTCTATAGTCTAGTCTATAGTTTAGACTATACAGTGGTGGCCATGAGGTTAGCACATTTGGTATCTGTTAAATATAAAATCAAATATTTCCTATAGTTCTTAACTTTTTTAACAAATTCTTTTTTATGCGTAACACATGTCCTTCGAGGATCACGACACATTACATTTTGTTCCACTACTTTGTTGCAGATAGATTTCTTTCTTTCCAAAGTACATCTACCCCAAAAAAAATCTGGACATAAGTTTAGCACAAAATAAAAAAATCATTAAAAAATTAAAAATAAAGCAAAGAAACTGGATAATTTTATGTAATTTCACTTAAAATTTTATATTTTGTAGAATAGTTGCACATTTTGATAATATCATTTCTTCTCCTGGACATAATCTTCACCAGAACCCACTAGAAATTTCATGACATAAATTTTAACTTTCAGCCCATAAATAGGCAAAATTCTTAGGAATTTGTGTTTTATTTGTTGCACCATTTCGTTTAATATGTTCCCTATTGGATTGGGATCTAGAAATTATTCTGGGGGCTGCAAACATGTCAATCTCGCTCGCTTCCAAGAAGCTCCTCTCTGTACTTTTAACATATTTTGGGTCATTGTCGACCAAAAAACGCCATTTAACTGAACTTTTGTCCACTCATTTTTTTACTAAAATATTTAAGAGTCTATTTTGATAGTCATACTGATCCATTTGTGCATCCACCTTGCGTATAGAACCTCCACTAGCCCGGAAAACGCCTCCGAATTCGTCATATTTCACCCATTGTGTTTTATGGTTTTAAATGTACACTTTGGTTGTTGCTGCATGTTTGGAGTACAGCATAATTACATTTTTCCATCAAATTTGATCCTATTAATCTTCAACTAGTATCCTCCAATCATGCAGATAAAGCTAAAGTGTTCCAGAGAAATCATATATCACAATGGGGGGAAATTTCATGGTATTCATTGCATTTTCTTGGCATGCTGTTGGTCCTATATTGATGTTGGATGCAGAAGTGGATCCGTATGACTATCAAAATAGGATCTTAAATACTTTATTAAAAAAATCGGAGGACAAAGATGGCGTTTTTTGGTCGACATCGACCGTAAATATGCTAAAAGTGCTGAGATGAGCTGCTTGGAAGCGACCGGGATTGTCATGTTTGCAGTGCCCAGTATATTTTCTCGATTCCAATTCAATAGAGAACATATAACATAATATGGACCAACAAATAAAAGCAGAAATCACCAAGAATTTTGCCAATTTATGGGCTGAAATTTCTAGAGGGTTCTGGTGAAGATTATGTCCAGGAGGAGGAATGATATTATCAAAATCTGCAACTATTCCACAAAATATAAAATCTTAAGTGCAATAAGATAAATATAACCGGTTGTTTTGTTTTATTTTTAATTTTTTAATGATTTTTTAATTTTGTGCTAAACTTATGTCCAGATTTTTTTGGGGGTAGATGTACTTTGGAAAGAAAAAAATCTACATGCAACAAAGTAGTGGAACAAAATGTAATGTGTCGTGATCCTCGAAGGACATGTGTTACGCATAAAAAAGAATTTGTTAAAAAAATTAAGAACTATAGGAAATATTTGATTTTATATTTAACAGATACCAAATGTGCTAACCTCATGGCCACCACTGTAGTTTAGACTATAGACTAGACTAGATTATAGACTACACTACAGACTGGTCTGTCGACTACTTATCAAAAGTTAGTAATTTAGAAAAAGGACGAAAATGTCCTCGGGGTACCGCGGTATTTTCCGACATAAAAAAAGAGAATTTTCCATGCCTGTAGGCGAGGCTATAGTCTGGTCTATAGGCTATAGTTGTTATGTTGACAAATTTTCGCCAAGTGTTAATAGGTACGTTACGGTGTGAAGTTGTCATTGTAATGTTTCCAATTCTTTACCGATTAGGTTATTTTTATTTTTGAATGTCAGATAACAAATACATATTTGTATACAATAGTGTATATAGTAATATTTTGGAAATAATTACTTTTGTATACATATTTGTACAACTTGTAATTACCTTGAAAATTATAAAATAATAATTAACTTTTCTTAGTGTATATTCAACAAAATACAACAGAAAGTTTGTTGTATATTTGTTCATTAAACATATGTGTGATGAATTGTATACGATGGCTAATAATATTTATTCGCATTATAGTATGAAGCTTTTTTATTTTGCCAATATGTATGCAAGTTCGGTCTCGTCCCGTTCCGTCTCTCTGTAGCGTATATACAATAATTTTTTTGAGGTTATTCAACCTGTTTTGCATTGTTTTTTTTTTTTTACCTGATGTTGTTGTAGATTGTATTAAACATTAAACTTAAAATGGCAGACATTCATAAGAAAAGTAAAAAAATAAAAATTAAAACACAATTACCAACTTTTTTCTTTAGATCAGTCAACTTTAATTTAAATTATAAAGTGAATTATAATAAAAACAATACAAGAAGCGAAGATTAAAGAATTGCATACAACTTTTGAGTAGAAGATCACTGATTAAAGATTTGAATAATTTTGCAGGTCCAAGCTCCTTGAAGAAGTAGATACAAATAATGAATAAAATAATTTTCACTGTATTAACAATATCTAGATCTCGATTTTTTTATTTCATTATTCTAAACATGATAGTATGTGTCTTGCATTAGAAATAAACAAAATATAATAATTAACCTGTTGTTTTGAACTCGTGTCTGAATTAATTTATTCATTCAATTAAGCTAAAATTTACAAAATATTATATTAAAAACAATAATAATTGTATTTATAAAAAATGCTGAAGAAAAGTGGCAACATGGCCATTAAGTTGCGTGTGCGTTTTAATCGCAATTGTTGTTTCAACATAATCATTATAATGATTGTTGTTGTTGTTTGAGATGTTACTTATAAAAAAACGAAGACCTCAGTCTGAGAGAAAACACCTAACGTTAAGTGTGGTCAACTATTTGAATGTAAGAAATACGAAAACATATAGTTTCCAGTCTTAGATGATAAATCATCAGATCACGTAGAAAAGGGATGACGAGGACTAGTCTATAATCGAGATTATAGTCTGGTCTATAGTAGATAATATAGTCTATAGTCGAGACTACAGTCTGTTCTATAGTGTAGTGTGTAGTCTGATCTATAATCGAGACTATAATAGACACTAGAGACTGGTTTATAGTCAAAACTATTGTCAGGTCTATAGTCAATACTATAGTCTGGACTATAGTCTGGCCTATAGTCAAGACTACATTCGA